AGCATTTGGTGCCCTCTTGTCTCTTTTTGGATAAAAAGTTAAAAAACGAATAAAAAAAAGCATCTTTGCATCTCTTGTCGCCTTAAGTTTGTTAAAAAGTGCAAGTTCTGGGTGCAATACTAAATTTTAATTAAATTGCAAGAACCTTACTTTAAAGTGGTAACATTTAAATGAATTTTAAACCAATCTATATGAACCAAACTTCTGCATATTATTTTTTCAAAAAAATATGCACAGAAAATGTTTGAATTTTTACCGTTCTTCTACTGAAAAGTTAATAATTACAACGCTCACCAGAAGCTGCGGTTTGCAAAAATCATACCTATTTGATTTATATCAGATTTTTTTTTTAAAGTTACCTTCTATAGCATCTGACAAAAGATTTTAATAAGACTTAATATTGTTTAAAAATAATGTAACTAAAACAGTTATTATTTCTTGCAAAAATGGAGGAAGTTATTATTATATACTAATCACCGAGTTGAGAAAAATCGCAGATGTATTTTTCAAGCTCAACTTGCTGACGACTGCTAAAAATTGGAAGACAATTTGTCAACTGGATACCCAAATGAAGAGTAAATTAGTTCAGATCAGAAAACATAACTGGAAAAAAATTGTCACTTTGGATTAAGCAAGTCTTAATACAGGCTAACTTCAGATTTAATAAGCTATAAAAACACTGCATTTTAAATAACAAAAAACTAAATGGGTATAATTGAAATATGTTTCTAGTCAGAAAGTTATTTTAAATATATTTAATGGAGGATTACAATTTAAAAGTTTCATATCCATCTTATTCGCATTCACTGTAATCATAATTTACAGGCATATCCATTTCGATATTTCTTTGTTAAAAATCCTCATTATCATTAAAATCTGGTTTAAAAGAATCGCTCCCTAAATATTGTATTTATTAATTTTATAGAAGAAAAAAATATTTTATAATTAAATTAAATTTTTTTTTAATCGATATCTTTTTTAATTTGTTTAAATTATTGATTTATTTGTTTTAAAATAATAATTTAAATCAATACATTTTTTAAATTCAATGCATATGCCTTTTATTATTTCGTAGTAAAAATTAGCTCCTTAAAAATCAATGATTATCAATAATCAATGAGTATTCATAATCAATGAAATCAGACTTTTCAAAAAATCACACCTTTAAGAATGTATTTATTAATTACATTATATGAAAATATTTTAAACTTAAATGAAAATTTTTTTTACTAAGTATGTTCATATTAAATGTTATGAAAAGAAAATTAAGTTTGTTTAAGTTAATGTTTTTTCTAAAAAAAATCGCAGCTGATTTAAATCAGTTATTTCTTTTAAAAAATCAAATGATTTAAATCATGATTATATTCAGAATGCATTATTTTCTAGTTTTAAATCTAATCTTGACTGCAAACTCAAATTTAGTCCTGGCATATTATATTTCGATATATTTTTCACAGTGCCCAACCACCCATTAGGCCATGGCCCTCTTAAAATGGATTTTTTGAAAATAAATTTTAAAAAAATACGAAAAACAATGATTTAAAAAAAAAAAAAAATTCAAATAAATATTAAAAGAATATGATAATTTTTTTACGTAATGTTAATCATATTTATTTATTACTTATTTTAGTTGTTATTTATAAGTATTATTATAGTTAATGTATTATAAAATTTATAAATGCTTTTTAATTTCAAATTTTGACTGTTCTTCGCCTTTTTCTAACTCTTATGATAACAAATTGTTATACGGAGTGCTCGTTTTCGAAAATGAAACGAATCAAGAGTGAGCAAAGAAGCGTCATGTTTCAAAAACGATTAGACATGGTAAGTTTGATGTTTATCGAATCAGATGTTCTCCATGAAATTAATTTTGATAACAGCATAGATGAGTTTATTGATCTCAAGAGCAGAAAAAGAAAACAATTTTGAATTATATAGTAGCGTTGATTTTGTAAAGTGTTAATAAAATTCAAAATGTTATGATTATTTTTTAGTTCTAATTTAACAAAATAAAGTAAAATTTAATTTATTTTAAATATGCTTTCTTAAATGAAATATAAATACTTTAATATTTGAATACATAAATAATATACGAGAAAAAAATTTGAATCTAAGGGTCCCAAAAATTTAAATGCCTTAGGGCCCCGCTTAATCTGGCACTGATTTTTTGGTCAGGTAGATTATCGTCAATATAGTGCTTGATGTTTCTAATTGCAATGAGAAGATTAATCAATATATGAGAGATTAATCAACATACTAGAACCTACCATTTTTTCAAAACTTGATATGGGAATTTGCTAGCATTGGAACAGTTTTCGTTCACATTGTTTTGAAAAACGACCATATTATTTATAGCAGGGTCAAGTACCGAGAGAAAGGCAGTGGGTTCAAGTAATTGTTTTTTTTTTTTAAAAAAAAGAGTGCGTAAAAATACTGTACGAATTATAGCAAATTCTAACCAGATATGTAGCTGTTTCGTGTAATAATATGAAAATTGGGTGTGAATGTTGATTGAAAAACCCTGTTTTTGGAAACTGATAAAAATAATAGCATCTTCGAATGCAGATAGAAACATAGTGAGCTCGAATGTTTTATTAAAAGGCTGGTTATATGAGCTGGTCCAATAATAGCAGGTTTGAGTAAAGATTTTAAAAAAAATTGAGGATTCGCACACTGATCTTGATATCGATAATTTTGATCTTGGTGAACACCCTCTATTTTACCCGGTGTCATCTTTGAGTGTTTATCCTTTTTAGAGATACTTTGGTTTATCTTAGAACATTTTTAATCTTAGAGATACTTAGCCTTGAATGGGGGACACTTTAACTTTCAGTCGACTATTTTAATTATTCTATTCTTATTTGCATGTAATGTGATTTTTCATATTTTTACTATTTGATGTTTTACCTAACCTTACGTATTTTATATGTTTTTACCTGTATTTTTGACACTTTTACTGTTGGTTAATTTTATTCACTTAGATGTTTTAATCACTTTAAATTTTTATTGTTTTCTTTTATCATCTTTTCGATTTTGGGATTTTTCCTATGTGTATCGATCGTTTTAGTTTCGATTTTACTTTTCTGTAGTTTTGTTGTGTTTAGTTCACGTGAAGTTTGAAACCCCTATCCACAAACTCCTTCAGGGGTAGATCGTTTACTATTAGTCTTACACGAAGATGATTAATACACTATATATTTGATCTATACAAACATCATTATTTAATAAATTCTTGCAGCTAGTGTTATTTGATTAGTATTATATCCCACAATTAATGAAACCAAAATAATTCTAATTGTTATCTAACCTACGACCATCAGAGTGCGTAGCCAAAACTTTCAACAAAAAATAAGCACCTTTAGAGTAAATTTTAAGCACTAAAAGAATATTTCAAGGACTATATGCATTATCCAAATAGTTTTCAAAGACTTTACATGTTCATGACAAAAATAATTAGTTTCTAACAATATAACATTATATTAGCCATTATAGAAAGATCAAGAGGTTTTTCGGTTCATATCAGACGGTGGAAATGATGCCTGAAATGGAGATTATCATGCGAAATGCAAAAGAGTTGCACATGAAAGCGCAAAAATTTAACCGATCTCAGCTCAGTAGACGCACATGCAAACTCGCAAGTATTTCATCAAACGTGTAAAATGATTGGCTCTTTCATAAGCTATGGACCCACGGTACGCCGAAATGAATTTTGGTTGTGTGAAATGTACAAAAAAATTGAATAGAAAAAATATGAAAACCACGCTTTTGCAAATTACCTCGCGAAAGTAGACATGGTAAAGAAAAATTCTCATTTTCGAAAAGGGAAAAATAAGCACTTTTTAATGCCACCCAATAAAAACGCTACGCACCAGGATCGAATTATAAGTACTCGAAGGCACAATTAGTATTAGTACTTGATTTTATTAATACTGAATCCTTTATATTTTTATCGGATTCCTCACCCAGGGTTTTTCAGTCTACATCATGGTTTTTATCATCTTTTATTAATTTAATTATTGATGGAATTCATTTAATATTTGTTACCAGGGAGTAACTAATCAGTCTTTGAGAATGGTAACATTGTATAATACAATATTGTTCACATTATAAATGAGACATTGGTGAAATTAATTTTGTTTTGTACCTAAGACCTTTACCTCAACTGTTTTAAGCATTAGAATTGTTACAGAATTTGTAATAATAAATTTTAGTACTTATCTGTTTTTAAAATTTACTAAAAACGGTGATTTAATATTAATCAACTTTTTTTAACAGAATATGACCAGGCTAAATAGACTCCAGTTTGCAAAACACTGATGTCTCAGTTTATTCTTGCAATATTTATTTGCTGAAAGCAAATTTAGTCTGCGATAACTTATTTTATATTGTATTTTTCCTTTGAATTTAGTTAATAGATTTGCCATTTCTAATTTTAACTGTTGTTTTCAGCATTAGCTTGCCTATATTAAATATCTTACTCCTAAGCAGTCACCTCTTTTTAGCGAAGATATATTTCCACCATAAGCTGTCCCCTTTACCAATTTTTTATGAATTAAATTTTTCAGTAGAGTCTAACTTAATAAATATGTCTAAAAAGAACCCAATTACTTCCCTATTCAGCTAAAATGTTTTTCTTCTGTTGTAAAAATGAAGCACACACAAAATAATTTTTTAATTACATCACTGGCTTAGCATATTCATAGTAATAAAATATAAGATCTGTTATAGTAATCACGAGGCTTAACCTAAAGAGGCATGTCGATTTACCGTTGAGCCTTTTGTCAATAATAAGACTACTATTATACATTGATGCAGCTTATTTTTTGTGTGCATCGTATTACAAACATATAGAGTATAAGACAGTAAAAGAAAATTTCCTAAAAGTATGGTTCAGAAGATGTCTTTAAACATGGTTTACAATCAACTAATCTTCTCTATTAGCAAATGCGATTGCTTGAGACCAAGTCCAAACTAAGCAGGATGATTCAACTACTAATAGGTTTAGTGGGCACTGTTGAAAATATTACGTCACATCATTTTCCGGAGGTTGATTTTGAACATGCACCAGTGAGGTAACTTGGCAAATAATGGTCCTCCATTCACAATGGATTAACTCTAAAATCAGGCGCCGGGCGGAAATTTTCGGAGATATCTTCTGTATCAATCGTCATTGGCTACTGGAGTTCTTCAATAAATGTCTGAAAACGGGAACTTTTCCAAAAATAATGGAAAATTATATAACGTCGTCGCTTTTATTGGTAAGCTAAAGAGATATCTAAGATTGCCTGAATCCTATAGGCTCATCTCCCTTGTGTTGGTCTGGGGCAAGATTCTAGAGGATTACCCAGAGACTAGTCTATTATCTAGCACCTTCAAATTAATTGATTCGGTAGAGGACGGATGTCTTAGCAGACTTTCGTTACTGCAGCTGAACAGGAAAATAAGCACACAATTGGGGTGGATCTGGATATTAAGAATGTCTTTAACTGCGCTCTAACTGGGCAACTCTCAGAAACGAACTGAATAAGATTGAGCTTCCACACAATTTGCCTTTGTTTTTAACTTTGTGGAAGACTGAGAGATGCTATGAAAAAAAAATTATTGCATCACCTATACGAATTTTAATATGGAGAATGCCGCAAGGTTCGTCGCTTTAGCCAATACTCGCTTGAGCCAATTATTTCAGGGATAGAATTCGATGAACACATACAACTACTTGCAGTATTTGCGAAAGACCGAGAAAGCTGTGTTTAAGTTCACAGAATTTTTAGTACTTATGGGGAGAGCTGTATTAAGTTCACCAAGCTTAGTGCGTTTGTCGTGAGAGCTGTATTAAGTTCTTGGTTGCGAGTGGTCACTTCTGTATTGCTGTAAGCAGTCGAGTGTGTGTAGAATCCCGTTGGGTGTAAATGAGACCAATGAGCAACAGCGTGAGGAGGACGATGACGCAGTCGCAAATAGCAAGTCAACTGTTCAATGCGGACCGTTCATCGAAGTAGGCGTGATCATATCACGTGTGGGTCACCCATGTTGAGGAAGATGTTATCGAAGATGTCAACTTTCACCTCAAATCCTTCAATTTCGCATTAGATACTACAATTTCTTCTGATCACTTCTTATTAAATTTTAATTTGTGTTGGCAACGTATCAAACTTCTCCACAGATTTAACTCCCTTTGTGACAGACCCTGTAACAAAAAGTATATTTTGAATAACTTTTCTTAAAATATTACTACAGTTATTTAAATCAAAACTATTATCAAAAAGAGTTATGACTTTTTTCCAAATTACTTACTCTAATGTTTGAAAATAAGCAAAAAACCGACTATGCTGTTCCAACGATTTTCTATACCATTTGAAGGCTAATTTAAAACTTGTGCATTTATAGTCAAAAATTATTTATAGCTTGTTTCATCCATTACTTTTTATTAGCTGTTGAAGTTAAAAGCTTTTGGTTGAGAAGAAAACATACATTTTAAAGTAAAATTCAAACTTGTGTGATTAGAAAAAAATTCAACGTTGCTCATTAGGCTAATGGTGTCGTAATATGGATTAATGCTTGTGAAAAAAGTAAGGATTTTGGTTTGTAGCTCAGAAATTAGCTAAAATGTCTCCTAACCACAAATTTTTTAAGCGGGGTAGCTAACAAAAATTTTTGATGGGTGAATGATTTCCCAAAACGATTTAATAAATGGAGACGGAATTCAAATATCTGTTTTTTTTTGGTTATAAATTCTCTAAATTTGGTTTGGGTTATAACTTCTTTCTTATTTATTCATTTATTTCATAAATACCAGAACATGAAAAAAAAAGTCCTTGGTATCAAGATAATTTAAACTTTTGTTTATGGTAGTTAAATCTTGAAAACTTTTCTGACATAAGATTTTTATGGGAAAAAAAGCTACAGCACCATAACAGAATCCAGTAAAGTGGTGCATTTTCAAAAACTCATATTTCTCTAATAGCATGATATATATTAACAATTCTTGCACTGTTACCAGTAACGTTAGTGAAAGGTGAAAGAATTAACGCCCCTCCCTCGTGATAACGTAAGTGAAAGAATTAACGCTGAGTAAAATTTCTTCAAAAGTATCTTTCTTCATAATTATATTATTCCACAATAATACTGGCTATCATAAATTAAGGAAAAATTACAAAAACAGCAATAACTCTCCCAAAAATAAGCCAATCCCTATAAAATTTTATTATGTTATAAAAAAATTGCTAAATAGGTAGGTGTTGTTGCTATTTCTCATCCCCACTGGTCCATGAGTCCATTCACCCCCAGGAAATCAAAAAACAAGGCCGGGTCGGGCAGAAAATCCTCCTTTTCAAAATCCACACAGCTAAGGAGGTGGGCCGGGCTGGCTGCACTGGAAAAACATTTGTTGCAGGTGGGATCTGCTGCTGTTCATACCTCATGCACTTTATGTGACCGCTGATGAATCTAGTGAGCGCGGTCTGATAGCCTCTATTACCTCTGAAGGTCAAAGCACAATCCGGCTTATCCCCAGAGTACCAGATATGCACCGGGGGAGTCTTCCAGACTAGCTGGACACCTTTCTTTCTAATGGAGTGAATTTCCGAGGATGTGAGTGCCAATCTTTCCGGCAGAGGTTCATTTGTGCCAAGTTTTGCCAGCGAGTTAGCGATCTCATTCCCGTATAGACCAAATATAAATAAATAGGTAGGTACTTTACTTAAGTCGAAGTAGAGCTGCACAATGGGCTATTGGCGACGATTTGAGAAACATCCCTGAGGAATAAGACATGTCATCGTAATTTTGATACTCTGCATAGGGGATGGCTCCACTGATTTGATCCCCCGACGACCAGCGCGCGAAGTGGATCATTTTACGGTAGATTTGGAGTTGTAGTTCCTTTACATCGCACTAGAGCTGCACAATGGGCTACTGTCGACTGTCTGGGAAACATCCCTGAAGATGATCAGAAGACATGCCATCACAATTTTGATCTTCTGCAGAGGAAATGGCACCCTTGCATCGGTAGCCCGACGATCTGCACGCGAAGTCGGTCACTTTACGGTAGAACAGTTTAACGAGGACCCATACCGCACACCCTCTGTCCTTACGCAGACTGATCCAAGTGGTCACGCACCCTCACTCTGACCGCAGCCAGTGATATTTGACTTCGGTGATCTGCTGGGAACCATGTCTTAACGATCAGTCCACTGCGGGGCCATTTTACGGTAGAACAGTTTAACGAGAACCGATACAGCGCATTCTCTGTCTCTAAGCAGGCTGATCTAAGTGGTCACTCACACTCTTACTGACCTCAGCCAGTGACGCCTGACTTCGGTGTTTTACTGGGAACCGTATCTTCACGATCAGCTCACTGCGGGACTCAATTTTGAAGGATTAACGCATGAAAGGACAATACGCGAGACAAATATCACGCAGAGGAATTCTGAGTGACACACTCAGAATTCCTCTGCGTGATACAGTGATGGAAAAGAAAGTATAAAGTCTCAGAGGACTTATATAATTTTTTGAAGTTATACTTCTTATGCGACTTCCAACAAGGTTGCGTTAAACGTTTAACGCTACATTTGTATTGGCCGAGAAATCACGTGGTAGGATTTCGTTTTCCCTCATTCATTTCCATATTGTTTTGGTTCACGCTAGCATAAAAGTCATAAAAGTATTGTTTTTCTATAAATATTTTTTTAGTTTGTTTTGATACACATATAATTTAATAAGGTAGTATTTTTTATTTTCAAACTTAGTGGATAACAATTGTAAAAAATGAGTGAAAAAAATCCTACGGACAATGCGACGGATTTAAGGTTACGTCAAAGTACGTCTCTTGTGAATATCAATTGATTGTTAGGTTTTCTCTTCTGAAATTTCATTATGACGCATTCACATATATTATTAATACATATACATTTTACAGGGCGAGACGATGAGTGGCACTTCCACTAGTTCAAGAGGTCCACGAGGGAAAAATGCACAATATTACCTTTTTTTTTATAATACTGACACGGAATGTGTTGGCATGGCTGACCGGCTAAAAACACTACCCTGGAAACGCGGAGGTCCCGAGTTCATTTCTCCATGTTATTATTTATTAGTTATTATTTATAGAATGCTTTGGAATATTCTCATTCTTACGTCATTTCTGTTTCCTGATTACACTGTATATAAATTCCTGAGTGTCAAGTGGAAAAGGCAGTTATACCATGTTTTGTGTATTTTGGACGGTTATTAACAAACCTATTCTACGCCAGCCGTAAATTCTATTCTTTCTACGTGGAATCATAGATTATGACATAATAAGAACAATATACCAGAATGAAATTAATTGCATTACACATTACTCGAGTAAGTAAGAGTAAGTTGAGTATGGAGTACCGCATTAGCCAAAAATATTGACAGCCATCTGATATATCTAAACTTTTTTTTTCATCAGAAAAGACCACTTCACTCCAATTCTAAGGTATTTCTATGTAATATGCTAAAGGAGCATTTTCGTGTCATTTAGCAATCTGAGTTTTCCTTGATATTTTTAAACTAAATGTTTGGATTATTACTTAAACCGAGCGGCTTCTGCATGGTATTTGCATTTAATTTGTACCGAGATTAGCAAGCTTCCAGATTCAAATTTCTTGCTTTTCTGATTTTTACCCTCTTCAATATACTCTTTACTGCCACAGCTTTCAGGATTCCTGAGATAGCTATTTACTGTAGCCGTATAATATTCTGATGTTTTGAGATTCACTCCAGATCATTCCTTTAAAACCTAAACCTTTTTTCCAAATTGTTTTTCAATGAATATGCCAATTTCGCAAGAGCGATGGGCGCTAGGGGTTAAAATTCATTGTAAGACTTCCGGTTTACAACTTCTGTCTTTTAAGCCCAAGCTTGAAAGAAAAAGCACCATCCATTATTATCATACTTGTAGTGTTTTCAATTATAACGCGTTCTTTCAACTTAAGTGTCAATGAAACAAATGACACATTCGGGAAACTACTCAAGCCTGCTATAATACTATCGAAAAAATAACAAACGGTGCTATTTTGCACAAATATAGCCAAATAAGCGATAACATTCACAGCACGGCTAACCTTACACTTAGAGCCATGATGGCTCTGGGGATAGAGCGTTCGCCTTTCAATGAGGTGAACCAAGTTCGAACCCCAGCGACGACTGGTCGATACGAATCCGCATCCGGCTTGCACCGACCAGAGAGCTGACGTGAAATATCCTCAGTGGTAGACCGATAATGGGTTTGAGTCTCTTTGCCATCAGGCTAACCGTGGGAGGTTCTCATGATATAATAAATATAATATAAAATTTATATAAAGGAGGTTCTCGTGATGTAAAACAAATGCTAGTTAGTTTCATCAAAAAGTCCTCCACGAAGGCAAATTTCTCTAAATACTTGATCCAAGAGTTCCCTTGTCTTCTGGATTGGGTTCAAAATTACAAGGATACGGAGTTGAACATTAGTAGTTGAAAACGGGAAAATTGGGTCGGCTGCTCAGCGACGGTTATAAAATAAAATAAAAATAACTTTGCCCTTTATTTATGCTATTATATTTTTTAAAATTTATTTTTGGCTCAAGACCTGTTTGAGTTTGTAAATTACAGAAAACTCTTATGAGTGGTAAATTTTACGCGTAAATTTAAACACAAATCGAAATAATAAAACTTCCTAGAATATTAAGCCTGCTCACAAGTCGCCTCGTAAGCGTAACATAGGCGGAGGGATACACCGGAAGTTTTCTAAATTTCTTCCGGTTTTAGAAAGCTTTTTATTGTTTATATTCAGTTTTTAATCCATATGGAATAAAAAAAAACTTGTCATGTTAAGCAATTAGACGCTATATTTGCAAGCAGAAAATATATTTGTATATTGAGCTATAACAGCGGTGTTTCATATTTGGTGACTTTCAGCTCGACTTAATAATTTTTTTTTGAGTACTGTAAGACAGCGTTGAATAATGTCAATAAAGGAGAAAATTTTATTTAACGTTTGTAATGAATTTTTCCTACATAATTTTTGTTTATGAATATTTGTTACTTGACTATTGCTAATCAACAGTATTAAAAACACTAATCGTTCATAGCCGACTGATGAACATTTCAAAAACGTTTAACTTCTTTCACCTTTAGATTCATTACTATCCCTCGCAGCATTAGTGCAGACAATATTTTAAGTTACGAGATAACCATTAACCATTTAAATTACGAAATCAGACACAAAAACGTGCATTTTTTTTGTCGAATTCGGATTCTTTGCGATCGAAAGTTTGGATTCCTTTATGTTGATTTAACTTTTTGCGCATTTCGTTGCATCTTGGGAATTTTTTAAGTGAATCGAAAACATTCCTCCTGATCCCGATCTGAGCTGCGGATGGGAGAGGTGGGCGCAAACCAGTTTTAAGAAGATCTTCATCGCCTGTGCCCCTAAAGGTTGTCTTTTCCTTTATACACAGAGCCCGTCTCCCAACCCTTGGGAAAGTGATTTAGATTATGTCTATGGAAGCTAGCCTTCGTCTCTAGATAGAATTTAAAAAAAATCTTACTTAGAATTCTATTTGTCAGAAAGTATTACAATTTTGTTTGAACTTTATTTTTTGTGATATAAACTTGTGACAACATTTGATGAGACATAGTTTACTAGTTTCCTTTCACAACAAAAAAACCAAAAAGTAGAATGAAACTAAACCTGGCCAAAATATCATTTGACATTAGACCAATATACGCAAAATCTGTACCCTAAATAACGAAACTGGTCATTTGTACAGCAAAGAAGCAGACCGACACCCTGTCAGAGAAATACATGTCTAATGGAGTGTATGATCACCTTTAGCAGTTACACCACTCTCTCATCGGTTTTTCATACTTCTTACCTAGGTCCTTATTAATCACTGTGGCAACCACACCCACTCATGCACCAAGGCAGCCTCATAGCAATTGAACTTTGATTTGCGTCGCAATATTTGTTCGATGGGATTCAGATCGGGGGACATCGCAGGGACGTCAATCGTGGTATGTCAACCGGTTAGAGGTATTCGTTCCGAACTGAGCCCCATGTGTAGGATCGTTATCGTAGATAAAGTTGAAATTTGGTTCATATACTGTGCGGAAAAGTCTCACATGGGGGGCAAGGATAGCGTCCATGCATCGTTGACCTGTACTTCTATCGAACACATGAAGGTCGATATGTCTGTCCAGACCAAGGCATACATCCCACTAGTTTATTTCAAAATTGTCGAGTCACACCTCCTTAGTCTCCCTTGTTAGTAGCCCGAACGCAGTGACATCGTTCCTATTTTTCATCCACTGCGCAGTTTATGTTCTTTATGTCTGAGAACTAAATTGATCCATGCCGAGACTTTTTGTCTAGAAGTTGTTGATCTAACACGCTGAATAGCGACTAACCCATGTCGTTTACTGATCATTTCCTCATGGATTTTGAAATTCCAATAATATTTTATATAAGATTGCGACGCTTGAACTTCGAATTATCATTCTGACATTTAATTTGAGGCATTCAATAATAATTCGACGTCGTTTACTGATTATTTTTAGTCAATTTTCTATAGTTTTTACCACGTTTACATTAACTTGCCTTCGTGCATGTCTGTTCGGATGAAATTTTATAATCGATTTTAAACTAACTTCCCTACTAGCTACAGACTTCAAATTTGGCACATAGTATAGAATTGGATGACAATGCATGAAAATGAAGAGAAAAAAGACATACAAAGTAAAATAAAATTAAAGAAAAATTAATATTTTCGCGATTGTCTTTTGTTGTCGATTCGATTATTTTAAATGAGTGTCACATGTCAGTTGAAAAGTTTTGTGTACAGTGAGTGAAAAGAGACTTTGGAAGTGAGTAAAAAAAAATCAAAATAAAAAATAATATTTTTAATAACCACGTTTTTGTAGTGGAGAATAATAATTAAAAAATAAAAATTTGAAAAACGAAAGACGTCGGGTGCATGAAATACATAACAGTACATATACAAATTTTCTTACTCATACACTTGCACACCCACATACACGCATATACACAAACATATTCCACATACACATCTACATTCAGATACAATTACAGATTTACATACACATATTCTCATGAGCACACATACACACACTTATATAACATTACTGTTATGTATTTCATGCACCCCACGTTTTTCGTTTTTCAAATTTTTATTTTTTAATCATTATTTTCCACTACAAAAACGTGGTTTTTGAAAATATTATTTTTTATTTTGATTTTTTTATTATAATAAAATTCTGATATATCATGTTATTACGTCATACGAATAGGAAGTTGAATTATCACTTTTTGATATTGCTAGGGAAGGTTTAAATACAAATTAAAATCTATCACTATGCATTTTTCATGAATTTATTCTACGCTTTTCGACCATTTGCCTATGATTTTTTTCGAAATCTTATATTTGCATACGAGTTATATAGTTAGATATGGAGCAACTTATTGGCTTAGAAGGAATAAAAAAACTTTTTAAATTTATCTTTTCATAAATTCGTCTTTTTTCTGACTTTTCGAGCAATTTATTGTTAAAATAATAGTTACTGTCTCCTCACCTGGAACAGAGTGTCAAATAGTCGCATTTTTAAGGCTTTCTCTTTCCTCTTAAATAAAGGCAACATCAACAACCTGAAATTGCAAAAAAATAAATAAATAAATAACTCGAAATCAAATAGATTAAATCTAGAAATCAAATCTAGAATTGTAATAAGTATTTACAAGAGCACAAGTTACAAAATTCCCTAAAAAAAATAAAAACAAAATGGCTGCTGAAATATGGCGAGCAAAAAAAATAAATAAAATAGTACGTTTAAATAATTAAATATATCAATGAAAATATAATAATTTTCGTAATTTTATATTAAAAATGAAAAGCAAATTATAATTCCGAAGTAATATTACAAAATAACGCGAATTAATTACAAAATAATGCGGAAACATGAAAAAAAAAACATAATTTTTTTTCGGTATATTTAGACCACCTTTGAAATATGGGCAAAATGGGGCAGGTTTTTTCGAAAGAAGAAAAATCAAAGAAGACTACAACAAAAAGTCTAGCAGAATACCTCGTGGAACTTTTTAGAGATAAGTTTCGAAAGTGATTCAAACATTGTAAAATGTCAAATGATAAGATATAAACTATAAGCTTATCAAGAGTATTAACTAATTCAACAAATTGAAAAATTGTTCTATAATTTCAGACTAATTACTCTGATAAAAATGCAACAGTAAGGTGCAACAGTAAGCATATTTCTGAAATATAAATTTAAAAGTTACATTGAAAAAATGTTTTTAACATATTTTTCACTGCATTGTACTCTCGTCGGTCCAAAAAGTAAATTCTAATGTTTAGAATGATTATGAATACTTAATTTGGGCTATATTAAAACTGCTTACACATATTTTAGTTGAAAATTTAGTAATTATTATTATTTAATTATTTAATTAACGCAAAAGTGACCAACAGGTGCCATGAATGACACGCAAAAGCAACAAAGTAAAAAGTCAATCTAACATTAAAATTTAAAAGGGTTTTTTTTTAAAAAATATTTTGAAACTTTTAAACTTTCTGAAAACTCTCTTTTAAAAACCCAATATCGTTTATCACGGATTAATGGACATCCTAAAAGACTAACTGCTGGAAATTTCAGATTCATCACCGTCGATCGAAGAAATGACCAATTTTTTTTTTTTTTTGCCTAATGGGCCACCGAAATATTCGGTGGGCTAGTTATTTTGATCAATGGACTAACATTTCGGAGCAAAAGTTAAACTTTTGGTTTTTAGATTATATATTAATTGAAATTTCATTTTTACTACTTTTTCGAGGATAGTTAACGATGTTCAAAAATTTATTAACTTTCGAGTTAAAATTCCAGCTTGAAGTAATTTGATCAAAAACTAGATAACTGGCTTTGGCCATATTTTAATGGTTGGAAAAATGGTTTGATGGGTTAACGATATCCTGTAATGGGCTTAACGTTTTGATACATAATACATTCGTGATTTCCAGGTCAAAAATAAACTAAAACTGATTTTGGATGTAAAACATTTTAACAGTCAGGCAAATGGTATTTATTAATGGGAAAAAGGTGCTTTTAAGGTATACTATAAATTGAAATGACGTTTAGAGGTAACATTCAAAATTGTGGTTTCTAGGTCAAAGATTAACTTAGCCCCTTCCAGCTGAATCTCGTCAAAATCAAGGTATAAGCTTTCGTCTCACATTTCTCGTGCCCGTGATATTTTCGGGATAGAGAGTGTTCAAAAGTAAAGCACCGAAATGGTTTAAACATATCCGTCTCTTGTGCCCCAAATTTTTTAAATTCTTTTCTTATATAGAAGATGGCTGCACCAGATTATTTTTAATGTAACAAGAGTTTATTTTAAACAAGATGTCAGCACCATCCAAATATATGTATTTGCGATATATATTTCGTACACTTAGCCCAGCTACTTATGCTCTTTGTGAATACACGTGGTTTGTGCTCTGTGATAAAATACTGTTTAATATTGAGTACAATATGGAGTCAGAGTTGCATGGAGTTTTAAATTTCAAGCTAAGAAAAATCTCGAAAATCAAAAATGCATGCATAAATATTGTACTTACACCTTTTCTACGTATATAATTTTATTGAATAAGAAATAGGCGCTTTTATGACCGTTTTTTAACATAGTAAGATTGTTAAGGGGTTTATTCCGACGTAACCATGTATTTATATGGGAGGTTTGGTAAGGAAAAGTTTAGATGGAATGAATATTTCCTACTCTAGCTTTTTTTTCAAAAAATTGGCCAGCTTGGTCTTCTTCAGAAAAGGCTATTTTTATTGTAAGCCTCGTAACGAATGTTTACACTGGACAAATACTTTTAAGTCACAGGAACTTTCTGGTTGGATAATGGTTTGCTACTATGGGCTAACATTTCAAGACAAAGTTCAAATTTGTTGTCAAACCCGCCCTATAAACGGGTTGTGATAGTGCGACGTGGGTGACGATGTTCCACAGCCGTGGCTTCGCCACAGGTGCCCACTGGGTAACGAAAAGAGAGTTAGTAGTTCTGGCACTTTCTGTGGCCAATGGCCATTTAAAAAAATATTTTGAAGAATATTATTATTATTAATTTATTTTTTGTGGACAAATTAACAAAATTCTTATTGGGATAGCGATGATATATTAAATTTAATTCCTTCAGATTGTAAATCCTAACTTTTGCTGATTTGGTCAAAAAATCAGCTATAACTTCCGTGGGACATTTTTTAGCGGTCAATCAAAAAAAAAAGGTTTTGATGGGCAAATGGAGGTTACCTAATTTTTCTAATCTTTACTGAAATTTAAAACATTAATAAAATATTACCTGAAAATTTCTCTGTTTGTAAGGTATCATTCGAGATATTCTCAGAAAATGTCATTAAAGCAACGCAATTTTTAATGATTGTTAACCATTTGGGTAAAAGTTCTTAAATTAATGAAAATAAAAAAAAGATTGTTTACATCAAAATTCAAGTTTAAAGGAGTCCGATTGCTGAGTAATGAGAACTTCTTTTGTTGTAAGGGAGAGAGTTCCAGAGAAGCCGATATGTGTTCTCTTCTTTATTAGATCAAAAGCTCGCTAGGAGTAATTACAAAGGTAATTTTTTTTAAGGGTTGACTAGAGGAAAAGTTTAGCTGGATAACGATTTTCCTCTATGTGTTTACGTATCATAGATTGATTTTAAATTTTGCTTCAAATCAAAATTATTAATTCTCAAATTTAATCCATTTAATAGAAGTTGGATACAAACTGTTTTGGCCGTAACTTTGTTGGCGTTTGTAACAGTAAAAATGGTTGTTGGGTTAATAATTCCCTAATAACTGTTAATATTTGGAGTAAAAACACGTGGTTGTTTAGTCGAAACTTAGTGAAAACTTTCTTTGACCATATCGCTTTTGTTAGATATGGTTAAAATGGTTTGATTTTCAGTTTAAATTCAAACTTTTTTCTTCCTTATTCATAAGTCGGTCAAAAATTTTACAGGCAGAACTTTTCATAGTGTGTGCTTTCAATTTATTACAAGAGGCTTACTTTTGACGTAAAGTTCAGTATTGTGTTTTCTAGGTCAGAATCTAGCTAAAACTTGTTTTGACTATAAACGTTTTTGCGTGATGGCCTACAAAAGACTGATGAAGCAAATAATCCACCAACGTTCATTTGCATTTCCCTTAAAGATTTTATAAAATATTTATGCAACGCATTTTAAGACGAACTTTATATCAAATTAACATAAAACCTCAAAAATCAGTCGAGACTATGTAATCTCAATTTTTATAAGTTACACGCAATATTACTTTTATGAGCAGTTGTTTTGTTAATTTTTTCACAATATTTCATTTGATCCGTGAAGGCTCAGGGGATACAGCAATCGCCTTCCAATGAGGTGAATCGGGTTCGAATCTCGGTGATGGCTGGTCGATACGAATTCCGCATCAGGCTTGCGCTGACCACAGTGCTAGCGTAAAATATCCTCAGACGGATCATGGGTTAGAGTCCCCTTGCCGTATGTTGTAAATATTGTACATATCTTTTCTATTCAATTTTTTATTTATTATTATAACATTTTAATTATACTTTCCTTTATTATTTAATACCTGGAAATCAAAATTTTAATGGAGAACTAAGAAAAAAATATTTTTTTTTATTAACCTTTTTTTCTTATTAATTTACTTTTCAAAATTTATTTATTCTCACTTTCTATATCCCATATAGTTTTAAAATTTTTTTATTTAAACTATAATTGGTATTTCTGTATATTTGTAAACAAAATAGTATTTTTTTATATTTATAAACAAAATTGTAACCTCCTTTCTTTTGAAATTCTAAATAATTGGTTGAGGTTGGCTGGAATAGTGGACAGACGCGGATTATACGGTAAGGGTTTTACTAACCTAGGTACTTATCCCAGTCTGGAAAGAAAGAAAGTCCCCTTGCCGTCAGGCTAACCGTAGGAGGTTTTCCTCTCTATGTAACACAAATGATTTAAGTTTCATCACAAGGATCACCAAAGGCAAACTTTCTCCCAATACTTGATTCAGAAGCTCCTTTGTCTTCCTTAATGGGTTCAAAATTACAAGGCTACGGCGTTGAACATTGGTAGACGTAAACACAAAGTTGGGTCAGCTGTTCAACGATGGTTATAAATTGAAATAAAAAAATGATTGCTAAACGATCGATTAGTCAGAAAATAAATCCATATATGGTGCTTGATGTAAATCCTATCAAAGAAATATAAATTTTATATTCCTTTGCTGCCTGGCTCACCGTGGGAGGTTCTTGTTGTTTTCCTCTCCATGTAACGCAAACGCGGGTTAGTTCCATCAAAAAGTACTCCACAAATGCAAATTCCTCCCAATGCTTGATCCAAGTCTTCCCTTGTATTCTGGATTAGTTTCAAAATTCAAGGCTGCGGAGTTTAGCATTAATACTCGTAAACCTCCCCCCCCCCCCACAAATAAAAAAAATTTGGGTCGGCAGTTCAACGGCTGTTATAAAAAAAAAATATTTTATTCATTAATTAAAATGTGCTGTTGATTTTTAAATTATAAATTAACTGAAACTTCATTTTTACTACATTTTGTAGGGTAGTTAACAATGTTCCAAAATTTATCAATTTTTGAATTAAAATTCCAGGTGGAAGTAATTTAATCAGAAATTAAACGTGAACCGGGTTCCA